GGGTATCAGTTGTTTGAAAGTAGTAGTGTATAAATATTTTAATTAAAAAGAAAGGGGGGGTGGGGGGGTGGGGGAAGACCAGTATTGCAGTGCCTGCTCTGTGGGAAAGGCATACACAAATATTTTGTTACTCGCTCTGCAGAGTATTGGAAGAGGCAGCTCTTTTCCCAGAGAACCAGATGTCCAAAAGACTTAACCTGCTTTAGTGTTTCTACAGCTTCAGATCTATACATTTTATAATTGGGAATGTCTTTTATATGATTTATTGTGGCTTTTGCTTGGTACAGAGAATAATTTACTCTCTGAGGATGTGCACGGGTGAGGGGGAGAATGGTGGGACCTGTAGCATCAGCAGTAAGAAGGCCTTACAGATGCATGAAGCTCTGTATGAGGAGTAACAGGAATGGGTAGACTTTAAGCACTGAATTTGTAGGAAAAGGACTTAGCCTGCAGAGCTGTATGCTGCCATGCTTCTAGTGGCAATAAGTATTTTTGAGAAGAAAATTATCAGAGGTAATTTTGTCTTAATCTTAGCAGTTTTTAGCTAATACAGAGAGAGGCTGTTTATTCTATAATCTTCAATGAAGTGGATGTTCGTGGGGGGTGATGGTGTGCTGTTTAAGTCCCTTCTAGTATGCTTCCTTCTCATTAGTGCTCGTACAACTGGTTATACAACTATACTGTAAAGCAAGGCAGGAAACATGCTTAAAATATTGTAAGGAGTTTGGTTGTGTGTTGTTTTTTTCTGTAAGATGAATCAATTACGCATTCAGAGTAACAGAATGACCCTATGAATGTTGTGCAAGCACAGCTTGCGGGGAGCAGGCAGAGCCCAGAGGTATTTCTAGCAGCTTTACAAGCTCCACATTTATTTTTTTTTTGGTGACACCTGAAACCAAGTGGGACATACATGTAGCTGTGTTGATCCCAAGACCTTGCTGTTACTTCAGCTATGAAGTTGCTTCAAGTTTTGTACTGAAGCCAAGTGACCAGTTTTAAAACTATGGATAAGGTATGCACTTGGGATATGTTTTACATTAGACTTGATGCTCAGCAAGGACTAGCTGCCCCTAAAAAGGATTGTCCTATTTTTAGCCTTGTCACTTCCTTTGCATTGTATGTCACTTTTCTAGAGTTGATCATCTGTCAGATCAGCAAGCTCTCCAGTCCACCAGAATAAATATTCCATTTTTTTCCATCAGATGGATGAACTGATCTGACTCAAGGAAGGGGCAGGGGGCGTGCAGCAGGGGCTGGGGCTGGGGGAGCAGGCTCACCCCTTTCACAGCCCTTCCAAAGCTGCAGTTTCAGTGACAGCCCACCATTACTGGTTATGTGATGGTTGGGCTCAGCGGTACTATGGATCTTTCTCCGTGAGGAATTATGGACAGTTTTGAAACAAAAATCATCTGGAGCTGAGCCAAGAACTGCAGTGAGGGGAGGTCTTTCCTCTCCCCAAAACATCTGTTCAGTGATCTCTTGCTGTTTGTGCTTGCTGAGATGGGGACAGAGCGCGGCTGCTCTGCTTGCGGCCGTTTGACTCCTGCCTGAGCGGTGAGGAAGGAAAGTCCCAGAGGCACAGTGCTGGATCATCTCGGCCTTTACCCTCACGCAGCAGTGGATGTGTGCAGGAGAGGTGTGTCTGAAGTGCAGTGGCAGGAACCACCAGCACTTGGATCTCTGCTCCCTTACATTTTCAACGCCTGGTTTTGGCCAGTGGTTCTCCTAATGCTTTGAGCCTGCTCTGCTGCTGAAACAAGTGGTTCCACACATGTCCTCAGCTAGACCCTCTCTCATCCCCAAACAGCACATGTGATGAACCCAAGCTTGGAAATTAGTCTGTGTTAAAACTAATTGGCAAAAGAAGGGGTGGTTGGCTTTCTAATGCATGTGAGCACTCAGAGGGAGGAAACAGCATGGGAGAGGGAGTGGGGAGCAAAAGCTTATATTGGTTTAGCATTCTGTGGCTTTAGGGTTCAGATGGATCAGTTCAACCATCTCAGCAGCTTACAGGCTGCTAAAATGTGTGTTGTCCCTCCTGGTCACATGTCATCCCTCACATCAGTTCCAGAGTGTTTTCCCCTATGTGTTGTGCTTTTTTCTTTTTGTGGTTTGTTTTTTTGTGTGCATGAACTGATTGAGCTCACTGAACTGTCAGAAAACTTTCTATGGTGTGATGGCCCTTTTTTCCTGGTGGTATTTTTTGGTGGCTCAGGGAACGAACTGGGTGGGTGAGGGTCCAGCTGAACACTGGAGCTGGTATGGGGGATTGTGTGTGATTGCCACCTCCTGAATGCCACAAGCTATTGTACTGGTTCAACTTTTCTCATTTGACTTTATAGCATTGCATCAGTTTGATCCTATCTCTTCTCCATTTTATTCCCCAAATACTAGCAACCGATGAAGGATCTTCCGCTTCCTGTGGCTTTTATTAAAACTCTTCTGAAGAATCCCTGGCACTTCCCCTTGGAGATTTAAGTGCTCTGGAGCCTCATGCCAGTGGCTTGTGCCTTGGCTGGTGGCAAGATCCACTGGTTAATGAACTTGGAAACTGGCTTAGCTGGAACTCAGTCCAGCTTTTCTTGTTTTTCTTCTGGGCATCTTTGTACACCTTTCACAATTTGTTTATTGAATTGGAGCAGACTTTTTTTTTTTATGTCCATGTTCGAATTTGTTTGTGATTGCATTAGCACCTGGTCCCTTCAGCAACGGTTGGTTTTGGGAATGAGAAAATTAGCACTAACTGGTGCTTTTAGAGTTCCTGTGTGCTGCTAGAAGCTAATTATTGAACAGAAAAGCAATCACGGTGAATTTTGAAAGTTAGTGTGGTGGGGTTGTAATGTGCTGCTGTTTAAAATTAAAAGGATTAATACTTGTATTGAATCTCTATTAGCCCTTGAAATAGTCTGTCCAGAGTGTGTGTGTGGGGGGGGG